ATACAGTGGGTACGGAAAGTATTCAGACCCCCTTAAATTTTTCACTCTTTGTTATATTGCAGCCATATGCTAAAATCATTTAAGTTCATTTTTTTCCTCATTAATGTACACACAGCACCCCATATTGACAGAAAAACACAGAATTTTTGACATTTTTGCAGATTTATTAAAAAAGAAAAACTGAAATATCACATGGTCATAAGTATTCAGATCCTTTGCTGTGACACTCATATATTTAACTTAGGTGCTGTCCATTTCTTCTGATCATCCCTGAGATGGTTCTACACCTTCATTTGAGTCCAGCTGTGTTTGATTATACTGATTGGACGTGATTAGGAAAGCCACACACCTGTCTATATAAGACCCTACAGCTCATGAACATATGAGTGACATAATGGCTGCATACCACATGATGACTGACACTAAGAGTGAGCACACAATACCTTTATGACACATCTCTGCTTAATGACACTTCCAAACATCATAAACATGTCAAAAACATAATTTGTGTAATAAAACATTACAGGCAACATATCACTTTGTCATACAAATATGTCTACCTCATCAAAAGGTGACAAGCAAACACATTAGCCTGTCATAGGATGACATCTACACATCATTAACCTGGCACCCCCATAACAAGCCAGCATCTACCTCTATGTACTGTCAGTTGTTCAACAAATCAACAAATGAATAATTCTGACAATGACATTAAACTTCTTAAAAACAGTAAAGGCTCTTTCTATCTGTCCCTCTCCGAGTTACAACAAGTGCCCCCCTGCCGCCTTCCAGTGTGGGCCTCAAATCTGAGCAGCCAGCCAAATAACAGACTGATAAACACTCTCGCCTTACTCTCAGATGCTAGGGTCATTTTACGGTCAATCTTCCATGTTGAAGGTCACCCTCGGTCATTCTTTACACTTAACAGGTGATTTTCAGTCAGCCTTGTTCACAGCATTACTGAGCAAGTATAACCAGTAATGATGAATAAATGGAAGTAAGCTAACAAACATTAAAATCAAATGAAATAAATATAACAAATAAAAAAAAAAAAGAAATAAACAATGAAGTAAAATAATTAAAACTATAGTAAGTAAAGTAAGTAAAATATAGCAATTATGATAACTGAAATGGTCTCAAACAAATCTATAAACTACCAGCATGAGAATAAGGCTTCCTCTAATCCTTTAACCCCCTTGATCTCCTACACTTACAAAAAATTCATTAGTCATGTAGTTATGTTTGCTCAATTACTCTGTGTGCTTTATAACCTGATTTCTTCCATCGGGAAATGTTGATAATACACAGTTACCTGTGACGAAGAATGGGTGAAGAGTTCAGTAAAGAGTCTTCCCTCACATTCTGCTTGTCCACACTGCATTGACATCCAATCAGTATTTTTGTCTAAATGAAGAGGTTTTGATATTTCAGTATGTTCCCCCTTTTGTTATATTGTATGGAAATCTGCATCTTGATGGTGCTGACCCCCTCCAGCGAGGAGCTGTGGCAGGGGAAGGCCACACTTATGTGCCTGACCAACAAGGGCTTCCCCTCAGACTGGACTCTGGCTTGGAAGGCGGACGGCAGCAGCAGCACAAACATCAGTGGCAGCAACAGCTGGGAGGAGACCAGTAGCCCCATAGTGCTGGAGAAGGATGGGCGCTACAGCTGGAGCAGCACCCCGAGGATCCCTGCAGACCAGTGGCGGAAAATGCGCAGTGGTGGAAAATGAGCTCTGTGAGGCCACCAGGGGCTCCCAGACTCCAGTCTCAGAGCCTCTGAGGAGAGACCAGTGTTACTGACCTGACTCGATGGGATGTTTCTACTGCTCTCAGCCTGCACAATCTCTGCCTGCCTGTCTCTGTCTCTCATTATGTTTCACTGTTAACTTGTTGTTGCTAATGCTCACGGTTTCAGAAGTTGAGTACAATAAAAATTTACCCATATTATAGCAGTTATGTCTGTTGACTCACTTTCTTAGGAAAAAACACTATATGTTAAGAACGTTGGTTAGTGCACAAAATTAAAATAGTAACATTTCTTCTAGAGATCTTTAATAGTTTTAAGACTGTGAATATTCTCCTACAGTCACACCTCTTTTACTTATAATAAATAGTTTTGGTAATATCCAGAGTGAGAAATTTTCTGCTGAAAATCACTGAGCTCTCTGGTCTTACTATCACTGCCCTGGAGGAAGATCCATATTTTATTTATCAAAATATAAATGAATGATTTCCAAGGTTAGAAATAAACAGTGGTGTGACATCAGCATAAAGTCATTTAACATAACTCAGATTTTAAATTTTAAACCAACATCTGCAAGGAGATGGAAAGCGATTCAATGATTTTCAGAGAGTTTTATTCCATCTTTCCCATTTGGTAATATAACCTATGTTAATAGTGATTAGAGATAATTAATATTAATGCACTGAGTTAGTCAAGAAGCTTCTCGGTGGCAAGGCACCGGGGTGGATAAGATCCGCCCTGAGTACCTTAAGTCTCTGGATGTTGTTGGGCTGTCTTGGTTGACA